GTTTGGTAACAAGACAATAATCATGTCAACTTGAAACTTACCACTCAAGTCAGCCCTTTTGATCTCCAGCTAATTTTTAAATAATAAACAATCATTTTCCAAAATTCGATTTCATACTGGAGTTCCTTAGGCTATCTTGATGCTATTTAAGTCTGATATAGTACTTTGGCATACTCTCTATCTAATCTCACCAAAACATCTTATTGACATCTAACATGATGCTTGAAGAAAATAAAATAATGTAAATGTTAGCTTTGAAGCGTATTCGAGGTAAACTCTAGAATATTGCACTAATTCATCTCATTTGCCTTATTTCACATATTCAAAGCATTAATGTTCTCTTGGGTATCTTAAAGTAAAAGGATTATGTTTTAGGAGTAGTAAATACATTTGTACCACCACGTTGTGAATAAAATATCTAAATTCCTTTTCTAGTCATTATAAATGAAGTCCACATACATTGAAATTAGCAAGCAGATAAAATGGATTGGACATAATTAATCTGAATATAAATACATTCATACAATATGCAAGGTGAATTATTAATACTGTCATGCATATTTAAAATTAAAATGAGCTTGTTAATCACATAATATAATAAATCTCAATCGAACAAGAGATCATTATCATTATTGGTGAACAATCCCTTTTAATTAATGCGGGTCCCTCAACTCTGTAGTATAATAAATCAACCAATCAATATGTCAATAACTTATCCTGTTGGAGGAGTTCATTATTACTATTGTTGAGATTCATTTACTATTAGGCGAGCACTTCCATTAAAATAGTATGTGGGTCCCTTAACCACTGCATGAAAAATCGGATAACCAATACACCAATAACTTATTCGGTTGGCGAAGTTCATTATTGTTATTGGCGGGCAAATCCCATCATCTCCATATTTCTTAAGACAATGTCTTGTCTATCATATGAAATGATTCCCGATTTTATTTAGCCTTTCTAAAATCACCTAGTGTAAACCACTCCGTTGGGGAGCTAACACTATTGATTTTAGATTGAGTGTATAACGTTATTAAAGCTCTAATGAAAAATAAAACATTAAATATCTTGTCATTATAATCTAGACTCTTTAAATCATGCGTAGGGCCTTATTTTTAAAAATCTAATTACAATGAACATTTAATATTCTTATTTTCATGAGACAACCATTCTTGTAATATTAAGACTCTTCAAATCATGCGTGGAGCCTTATTTTTGAAGATCTAATTACAATGGTGTTAATAACGAAGGTTATGGGGCAATGTATAAAAATCCCCGCTCACACTCAATTTTTTTTAATCATTTATAATTAGGGTTTTCATTTTATTCAAATACATGATATGATGCATGCTAAATGTCTTGATTTTAATCCAATTAAATTTAGAAAATATTTGAACTTAAATGATTCACTAATATTTAATTTGAGGCACACTTCAAAAATAATTTTTCGTTTCCCAATAAGTGCCCTCTAATTAATTAGTAATCAAATCCAATTAATTTTCATAATTTAATTAATATAAATCAAGTCATTTAATTAAATATCATGGATCCAATGCATGAATAATAATTAATTAACAATTATATATTCCATGCATTTCATACATTGCATAAATATATAAATGACAGATAAAGCAAATAAAATGGCCAATGGAATCAGCTTTTAACATTTAATTACTCTACGTATTGCGGGAAGATCATCCATCGGCTTGTAAACACCTGTAGGGAGCTGGTACGCGCTTATGGAGGCAAAACAGCACTTGAAATGCGCCCGGAGGGCCCCACACGAGCTCACACGCGCCTGGGGCATGCACCAGGTAATGGCACGCGCTCCCACGCGCCCCCACGCGCTGGGACACGCCTGTGGCGCGTGGGAATAATTTCCCTTGGTTGGCGCATGAGATCCACGCGCCAGCCCATGTCTACCTCCTGGCGCGTGTTCCACACGTGCCAGGTGCACTTCTTTGCGCCGCATGGGATAACTTCCCATCATCCAAAAGCTCAGATTCCAGTTGCACCATATAATTGTGTTCCGCGAAGCATGTGATCATCAGTCCTTCTATCTCCGGCCAATACCTCGCCGCCGGCAATTTTCCGGTCGCCGGAAAAATGCCGAAAATTCCAGAAAATATTAGAAAAATTCCCAGAAAATTAAATTAAGTCTCAAAAAATTCCAGAAAAATTCCAAAAAATTTGAAAAAATTCCAGAAAATTACTGGAGCATAATTTAACCTTTTCGGACCCTCTTGAAGCTTCATAGCATCCTTTGATGAAAATTACATGGTTTTAAAAATATTTACAATTTGAAATACAATGGAAAAAATTAAATTACATCATTGAACTTTCAAACGGCTAAATCAAAGCCTTAATTACATTCATCCAAAGATAAAATTACATTCCAATAACCTATAAGCTTCATCCATGGCCCAAACATTCGTCAACATTCATCCAATCACAAATATACATACATCATGATCATATAAAAATATATACATATGCATATAAAAATTTGGATCCATGAATGATGATTTTCATAAAATCATGATCTCTAATAATGAATCAAACCATGCTCTGATACCATTATTAGGAAACGTGCTAGTATTTAAAAACTTTTCGAAGGATTTTGATTCATAGATCTTGATTCATCACATAGAGACAAGTTTTATACAAAAATAAAAATATGATGTATCATTCAATTAATGGATTGAATACTTACATCACAGGTCTGAGTAAACCTTTAAATCTTTCCTCTAAAGTGAATGTTCTCACTTATTGTAGATTCCTTAGCAAGATGCCTTCTCCTTAGATCTCCATCTTCTTGGTAATTGTTTTGCCTTTAGGAATCACTCATAAGCCTCTATGAATGACATTGGAAAACTAGGCTTGTGGGAGCCTCCATTAGATGAAAATACTAATCCTAATTTTCTAAATAGAGAAAATTTATTCCTTTTTCCTTTTTTCCAAAAATCACCCCCCAAAATATACATAGACCATGTATATTTATAGGCAACATAAAGATAAAGAAAAGGAAACTACAAATCCTTCTCAATCTCTAACACACATGTCTCAAATCTAATATGATTCCAATATCAAGTTGGGCTATGAGTGAGAATCCATTGGGCTTATTATTTTATTGGCTACAATGAATTAATAATTGGCCCGGTCTATGGACTTAATTCAATTAATTCATAAATTAATTTCTACTCCACTAAAAGAAATTAATTGAACTCCAATTAAATAATAAATAACCTCTAAGTCAATATTGCACTTTGACCCCTCTATGCATAATTAGTTATCGGATAAATAAAGCCATCAATCCGACTACTTAATTAATATATTTATTTTGGTATCATTGATTATTTCTGGCTCGATCACAATAAAACATTTGTTTGACAAAAAATAATAATTTAAATAAATAAATATATAATAAATCATTTTGTCTAAAAACATACGAAGGCCTTCGAATTTACTTTGTGATCAACCATAATCAATACAAAATAAATACAAGTAGCAATGATGCAAATATTGAAAATATAACCCTCTAACTATTAATTACATAACTACCCAAAGTGTCGGTCTAAAGATCCCGAAAAATCCACCGAACAAATCAAAGTAATTATTAATTAATAAAAGAGTCTATAATTTTCTCATGCTTAAGAGTCAAATGCTATGACGGTGATAGGGAGCAATTGCATACGACGGCTCTCGTAATATATCTCAACCTAACGCGGATCCAGTTCAAGTCTTAATTAATTATGAGTCCATCCATAATTACCGACTATGAACAATTTATAATTACTATTTATATATCATGCATTGATTGCCATCACATGCATATATATAAATATTTCTCGTAATCACAGGGACACTATCAATTTCATAGTGAATCGAAACATAATACATTGAATTTACCAATTATATAAATTATAAATATTTCAGATATGTCAGGAACATATGTCACTATAATCCAGATAGGAATTTGCTATGCCAGGGCATATAAATCCCAACACTTGTAACTAATCAACTTAAAAGAATTCTTAAGAAAACAGATTTTATTTTTATACCAAATCATGACTAAATACTTTTATTTATTTATTTGAATAATGTTAATAAGTTTATTTTAATGCAACTACTCTAACAGGGAGTGGCTAGGTTTACAATTGAACTCTTAAGTCTCACCATCATCAAAAAGTTTAATCCAATTCCTTCTACATAATTTTTTTGGACTTGATTCGGATTTTATGAGAAAGAGAATAGTCAAATTAGGATTTGATTTAGATTTTATTGGTTTTAACCTAAATAAAATTTCAAATCTTTATTTATTTATTTATTTATTTTTATTAGAGTGACACTTGTCACTATATTGTTGAGCCACATGAGTAATAAGCATAATGTTTCTACTTATCGGTGAGTAGGCAAAAATTATTCTTATATTATATTATATGAAATTATTTGTTAAGCTTTTTATATAGGTCAGCTTCAATGTGTTGAAGTTAGATCACATTCTGAATTTCTAAGCATCATTTGAGGTTTAATTTTTGAAATTTTACGATTACGCCAAAGCCCACCCTCCACTAACATCATTACTAATTGTTTTAATTATTATTATTTTTTTGACTGTTTGACTCATTGCAATTTGTTAAAAGATTCTGGTATGCAAAACTACTATTAAGAAAAATTCAAAAACCGGTACTGTTTTATTCCCAATATCCATTTGGACACTTGCATTGGCCGGCTTTTGATGGTGCCTTTTTAAGTTTCATAAACAGGTTTGTTTTAGAAAATAGATGTGCACTTTGGCTGCACATGACTATTTAAATAAGGTGGATCCCTGTGATAGATTGGCACTACAATTTAATAGTCCAATTGTGTTCTCATAAAACCATATTCTAAGTTAAAAATTAGTCAGCATGATTTTATCACATCAATTACTTGCTTCTTCCTAATGCTTTTAGTACATTCTTCTTCTATATGTAACAGACCATATTCAGATTTTGAATACCATGTTTACTATATGGTTTCTCATCTGGTTATGTTTTGATTTAAGCTATGCTCAACAGTTTTATGACCAGACACCATGTTCTTCAGATGATGCTAACTATCCAGACACTAATCATCCCGGGACACGATACACCTGCAACTCCTTCCAGCCTTCATGCCGGACATTCATGGTCTACAGAGCTTGCCAAAGGTTTCAGACTATTTCAAATATCTCCAATTTGTTCAGCATTGACACTGATGAGTTACTTTCCTTGAACAATCTCTCGTCGGCTCTGCAGACTCTGCAGCTTGGTAGAGAAGTACTTGTTCCCATCAATTGTTCGTGCCCGGGTCAGTATTACCAGGCAAATTTCAGCTACATAGCACATGACAGCACACCACTCTCGGAGATTGCTTGTGGGGTTTTCGAAGGTTTGTTGAAATCTATTACGCTTGTTGAGGAAAATCCGGTTAAAGAACACAATCCCAAGGTTGGTTATGTCCTTCATGTGCCTTTGAGATGTGCTTGTCCTGATAATTTCACTAGTAGTAATGGGGTGAAGTACCTTGTGACATACCCTTTTATTGAAGGAGATGATCCTACCAAATTGAGCAAGAAATTTGGTATTCCTCAACATGATATTGAGCAAGCTAACCTTTTAGCACCTAGTGCCACTGTTTATCCAAACACAACTGTTTTAGTTCCTTTGAAAGCGAAGCCGGTCATTCATTTTGATCTTCCAGCTGATTCTCCACCTCCAACCCCAGGCTTTCTTCCCACAATTCCGGTAAGACAAACAGCAAAACAATCAAAACGAAAGAAATTATACATTGCAGGATCGGTTGTTGGATTCTGTCTAATACTAGTGGCATTGCTTGCAAGTGGATTATATGTCACGGTCTTAAAGAGATGGAAGGCCGAGCTCTTTCAGTTTTCAGCTCGTAGAAGCTCTATAACCTCATGTTCAACCCCTAGAAGCTCCCAGTTATCTCGTGCCACGACTAGAAGCTCCCCAGTTTCATGCTTGTCTCCGGATCTTCTTGTTGGAATAAAGTACTCTTTGTCCAATTTCAGCACAGAGGATCTCAGGAGGGCAACAAAGGATTTCAGTGAAGATACTAAGATTAGTGCTTATGTCTACATGGGGATGATTGAAAATGTTCAAGTGATGATCAAACGGATGAGATTTGAAGACACTCGCCACCTCATTGATGTGCATTCGAAGATCAATCATGTCAATGTTATGAAGTTAATTGGCGTTTGTTATGGTGAGAGTGACTTCTCTTGGTCTTATGTTGTGTTTGAATTCCCTGCTAGTGGCTGCTTAAGGGACTGTCTGTCTAACCCATCTAGTCCTCTTGTTTGGCATCGTCGGACTCAAATTGCTATTGACATAGCAAGGGCCCTTCACTATTTACACTATTGTATGGTTCCTCCCTATACTCATACGAGCGTGAATAGCAGAAATATATTTGTGACACCAAATGGGAGGGCAAAATTAACAGTTTTCGGAACCACCCCTGCTGCTGGATCATCCAAAGAAAGTGGCAGCACATCAAGTGTTGGAGGGTGGGTTGCACCAGAGCATCTCCTTAACGGCTTGGCTTCTGAAAAGGTAGATATTTTTGCATTTGGAATTGTTTTGCTTGAACTGATCTCCGGAAGAGATGATATAGATGGGAAGTTATCAAAAGAATCGATTGATTTTCTGGGAGGAGGAGTTAGTGAAGGAGGTTGTTTCGAGCAGTTGAGGAATTTCATGGATCCATGTTTGAAGGAGGATTATCCTCTCGCGGAGGCCTTATGTCTAGCTGTTTTAGCTAGAGCCTGTGTGGAGGATGATCCCATGCACAGACCATCTATGGATGATATCATGAAAGTCCTTGCCAGAATGGTATGACTGCAAGAAGTGAAACTGAGGAACCATCATCAAGTTGTAATTGTTACCATGTACATTATTAGTGTTTGTATGTAACAGTCAATAAAAAAAATTATCATCATTATTAGCTTGTATGTTGCATGCAGAACAACTTTTTAGCTCAGAATAGCTTGATACTGTTGTCCTAATGAGTCATAAAGGCCACAAAACAAAGGCTTGTGAAGTTCAAATTTTCTTGTCCAGTTTTGGAGAAGTGTCTTGTAGCAGGGTTATATCTGCTCAAGCCTTGCTCAACGAAAAAGGATATATATGTATGTGGTCTAGCTTCTCGCAACAAATTAAATTGATCTTATTTATATAAAGAAACATATATATGCCACAAAAGCATATATAAACAGCCAGTACAAATGCCATCAAGAGCTTATTACAAATTATAACTGTAAATAACAGAATGTAAACAAATAAAATTGATCAAAGCTATTTTCCCTAACTCTATGGCTCTATGCATATACCATCCTAATGTTGGAAATGTGAAAACTTCATCTCTCTTCACGAAATTATTGGTCTATAAAGTTGCACTGAGCGCGCGTTTGTTGGTTGTATTGGCCTTATATTAGCTCCGGAGCCCTGAAGAAAAAAAATAGTCATTCACAAAAATTTATGAATGCAGAACAAAGTTTTAAAAATATCGTCTGTCTGGCCATAATTTCTATCTTTGTATTAATTAGATATCACAAATTAAGGGTGTGGGATTGTTTGATATCGTAAATTAACATCAATGAAGTTGAAAGTACTTAGTGGAAGATAAATGAGTGTTAAATTTCAAGAAATTCATCACTATTTGAAACCTTGATTGTGTGTATGTGCATATTTCATATAAGAAAATTCAAGATAGTAGCATCTCACATCATGAACAGCGTCGCGAAGTAGTCTCACTTGTTCTCTTGTAACAGTTCTTACCTGATAAATTAAATGATATTCAGACTAGTTAATTACCTATAGATGGCAATATTTGTACTTGAACAATTATGTAGGCTAGTATATATCTATATATATATATATATATATAGCATACCTTTCTCACAATGGTCCAAACAACATTTTCAGTGCAAGGAGGAGCTGTAAGAGAGCCAATGTACCTGTAATACTTTCTACTCCCTATCTTAATTTGCTTTGGGTCAACTTTACCCACCACTCTCTCTAATTCATTGGAGTTTGCCATGGCTTCTAAGTGATCCTTCATCTGTAATCAAACATAGCAAGCATGAGAGAGAGAGAGTGTGTGTGCACGTGTGTGAGAGAGAGAGTTTATTTGATTACCTTCAACAAGAAAGAATCAGGTCGTCCGAATTTGTACATGATTCCAACCACAGCAATCTTTTTGCTCTTGCTCTCATGAACCAGGTGAAGCTCTAGATCAAATCTGTAGTATAATTTAACAATAGAAGGAAAACTTTTAGCATTGTTGTTGTGGTCATTATTTACTTTATATGCATACATGTATTTATGTATGTATCTATATATATATATATATAATGAGAAAAATCAGAAACACCTCTTGCCATCAATAGTGTGCTCAGAAGGTGAGTGCCAGTGACACTCTTTGAGTTCATACTTTGTTTCATTGATTTGCATATGTCCTGCATCCTTCCATTTCAACTGCATTCATAAATAAATCATGTAATTTAGAAGAATAATTTTTAAAAAATCATGGAAAAAAGAAAGAGAAATGATAACTAATAAGTTCTCTGAGGTTAATACAAATTTATATGCTCTGTCCACAGTTTTTCACCAAATTATATATTTGAGCACCAGTTGCAACTTTCCAACTATACGTCAATTGTGATTAATTCGACATTAGAGATTGTTACATGAGTAAGGCCATGGACTCATGGTAGGTAAGAAAGTGACTTAAATGCATTTTGAAATACGGCTTAACTGAATAAAATTATATGGTTTTAGGTAGACGACAGGATAAGAAATTCATACTCTAAAAAAAAGCTTCTTATTATATACCACATTTTATTAAACTTGACATAAGCAGATTGAACCATGGAATAAAGTGTTGGCTTATTGAAAGCTTTGATGAAAAAACAAAAGTAGATTTCTGTGTGTGTGTGTGTGTTTGCTTACCATCATATCATGGCCTCTATTGATAAGAGTGGCATTAGAAGGCTTATAGTCCCTCTTAAGTCGTCTTAAGTAGGAAACTATTTGAACCCTCTCATTCAACAGATCAATTGGAGACTGCATTTCTCCATTACTACACATACTCCATTCTGAAGAAATCTCTCCCCAGTGTTCCGGTCCATTTTCGCTGCCTTCATCATAACTAAACCCTCTCTCATCCTCTGCACCATTAATAAATTATATATATCAAAGGAATAAAGAAAATAGAAATTAAACAAAGACATACAAAATCATTTCACTAAATTACTTAAACAAATATGCTATGACTTACCTACTTCTTGAGATGTTGCTTGGAATGGAACCGAAAGTAAAACAAGAACAATGAGAATATTAAAATACAAGATTTTGGTTGTTAGCTTCTCCATTTTTTCGATTTCTCGAGACATGTAGCAGTGATAGAGAGGCTTAGCTGCTTATATAGATTCAGTTAGCAATATGAAAGCAAAAGGGGTAAATTGGTTTTTATTGGACTTTGTTAAGCCTTTTTCTTCCCATTAATTTCAATTTTATAAGCTTGAAAGTTTGAATATAAATATAAGGATTAGCATCATGCATGAAGTTAGCAGCAAAATGAGGTGTTGTGACATGATTAAAATAACATTAGAAATAAGACACAGGCGGTCTTTCTGATGTTCTTTTTCTTGTACATGGTGACGAAACTTGGTTGAACAAAAAGAAAGGCCGTCTGTCATACTATGCATGACTTTATTGTTTAGGGCTAGGCTGCTGGTTTTAGTTGGTTGTTGAATTAGACAAAAATTAAGATATATATATATATACACACACATATACCTATATAGAAATTGGCTGGGATTAAAATAAATTAATAGCGAATTTTTGGAAATGGTTATTCCTATTGCTGGAGTTTGTGGGAGATGCTTATCTGGAGTTTGTATTGTGCTATTCCTTTTGTTGATTTGTTTGTTTTGATGTTTCTTATCCAATTTATGCCTCTCTTTCTTGTAAGTGTGTTTCTTTGTTAATAAAGTGATGCTTAGGAAAGTTACAATTTTAATTTGGGTTGTGCTTGGAAAATAATATTATGTAGAGCATGCAAGACACTTTATAAAAATAACGCTAACACTTGGATATGCGTTCATTCGGTCTTATTCCTCTAACACCCTCAGATCGTATTTAGATCATTTATCCTTTGTCTCTAGTTAAATAATTATCCTAATGTTGTGTTTGAAAGTATTGAACCAACGCCTGACTTCTCTATGCATCAACAAACCACTGCAACTAATACTACTGATATGCTTTCATACTTGCACCATCTGGTGGGTTTATAAGAATTTCAATTCAATCTTGGACTTCGCTGGCTAGTAGTAGTAATTAATTAAAAGTTAAAGCAATATATATTTGGTTGCAAAACAAAAGATCTTTAAAATAATGGTATACATAAATATATACATATATTTATTATAATACAGTAAGTTGATTATGAAATTTCAATATTAACTGTTTTCGAGTGAGATTGTGGTCAAGTTCTTAGTTTTTGACAAATAGGTTGAATTATGGGTCAAAGATTGATCCTTTTTGGTCGTCCAGCAAGGTTTGAAAAATCCCTGGAACTTTCAAGAGATTGGGGTTTGTCCACAAACTCATCATTAAATTGGTACGAAACAGGCCCTGTGAACAACAACAAAAACAATAACAATGACAATGACAATAAGAATAAGAAGAATAATAATAACAACCCTGTCAACCACAACAACAACAACAAAAACAATAACAATAAGAACAATAAGAAGAATAATAATAACAACCCTGTCACCAACAACAACAACAACAACAACAAAAACAAAAACAATAACAAAATTAATAATAATAATAACAACCCTGTCACCAACAACAACAACAACAACAAAAACAAAAACAATAACAAAATTAATAACAATAAGAAGAAGAATAATAACAAGAATAACAATAATAATAATAATAATGTAGCAATTATATTGTGTTGGTGATAATGGAATATGGAAATTAAGCCTACTAAACGTCTATGAGATTAAACTTAATGACTGATTGAAATAATGTTGAAGACTGATTAATCTAAGCAAATGGAAGAAACATACACACATATTTGTGATAAACTTACACACACAGTTTATTACAGAATTCATCGTATGCTTTTGTTCTTTTTGCCAAGAGAAATGTTATTTAATCGGATTTCGACTTAAACTTACACACAAAGTGGTGCTAGAAATGTCGGTTTAAGCAGAAACCGACTTAAAAACAATATTTCTTTATCCAAACATATGTACACATAGAAATAGATAAATTTCTCCACAATAAAAATAGTAACCACTAAATTTGATCCAAGTGTAAAAGAAACTAGTTACAAACTAAATATAACAATCATATCAAATAGTTATTTTATTGGATGTTCAAGAAATCATTTCTACGCATTTATACACACCGGATATTCTTCTATAAGTAGGATTCAAAACAAGGGTCATTAGTATATTAATCATGTCATGAATTCATAACTATGTCACGTTGGATTCAAATTACCAAAGAACAATAAACAAATGAATAAAGAAACAACCACAGAGATTCATTATACACAGTTTTTTGTTGAGGAATGACTACTACTATTCAAACTGAAAAAATCATTCATATGGTTGGTTTAATCAACCAGATCTAATGTGTACGGAAACTATTGGTGACTGAATTGAATCTAAAATATAATTATGTGATCTTTGATTTCAAATTTTGTGACTTGAGCACAAACAACTTTTAACTTATAATCTAAAGAAATTGAAAAACTCCCATCAAAATAATAACAGTAACCTCTCTTATCACAAGTAAATGGTCAAACAGTTTAATCATGTGTCAACTTTTCAATATATGACTAACATACATTTTCAGCATAGTATTCAATAGGTGTGATAATTTGTATTCGTGTTCGTGTTAAAATAAGGGTATTATACTAAATAGGTAAATTTAAACCCAACCTATTTAATAATCGTGTCAAGAATTCTCAATAACGTGTTAACTCGTTTAATGACCTATTTATCAAAACCAGATGTTTAATATTTAATCAAAATGAAAAAAAAAAAATTATCATAATTAACCCAAATATTCAAAATAAAAAGAAAAATCATAAAGCATAAATAAAGTTTATGTTGAAATTACTTAACTATCCATATTAATTGAGTCTAAACAAGTAAAATATTACATAGATCATTTCCATAATTATAACATGTTAAGTTAAATGGGTCATAAATAGATTACAAAGGTTGAATTCCTCAACCTTAATCTAACACGATTAAATAAACGGGATAATCGTTTCGACCCTTTTATGACCCAAACCCTTTTATGTCAAATTTAAACTTTTTGTGTCGTGTTTTAACTGATAATACTAACTAATTTAAAAGTTAAAGCAATATTATATATATTTGAAAACAAAAGATCTTTAAAATAAGGGTATACATAAATATGTACATATATTTATTATAATACAGTAAGTTGAAATTTCAATAAGGACTGTTTTCGAGTGAGATTGTGGTCAAGTTCTTAGTTTGACATATAGGTTGAATTATGGGTCAAAGATTGATCCTTTTTAGTCGTCCAGCAAGGTTTGAAAAAAACCTGGAACTTTCAAGAGATTGGGGTTTGTCCACAAACTCATCATCAAATTGGAACAAAACAGGCCCTCTCATCATCGTCAACAACAATTACAACAATAAGGGCCCGTTTGAATGGGGATATCATATAGGCATTATGATTTGGTATGATATAAAAATAATTGTTTTGGTATCGAAATGTTTTTAATAAAAATCGAAATCACATTTGGGAAGTTGATAACGAACAAAAATTTTGAAAACAGAATCATCCAAAACATGTTTGGCATGATTGAATGTTTCCAGAAGTGTTGAAAAAAAAATAAATTCATTTCACTCTCAACAACTCTCTCTCTGATATAAGAAATCGTCTTCAAGAGAATTTTCAACATACCATCTGCGAGTCGTCATCACTTTAGAAATTGATTTTCTCTAATTCTGTTTTCTTTACTTCGTTGTTTTAATTTGTAATTCAAGATTTTTAGGGTTTGAAATCTGATGATTTCACTGACCGCATACGACGATGATTTCTTGCCTTATAATTTCAGATCTTGTTTGCTAATTCTGATTTCAACAGTGTCAAAATTAGTAACTCTCTTCACCATTCATCAACAGGTTGGAGAAGGGGAAAACCAAGCACGACACAAATTAGTAACTCTCTCTTCACGTTTTCCGGTCAACGGAATCCATGGCGGACCTATATTGGTCGGATTGCAGCGAAGCACAGAGGTGGTGTGCGAGAGATGTCGTCTTCTCCGCTGTCTCATCCGCCATCAACTTCGACGCCGCCGACAAGCATAACTTGGTATCTAAGAGAGATGGTTTGCAGAGAAAGGGGAAAGATTTGTGGTTGCGAAAACACGAAAATAGCGTTTCTCGAATCGCCTCTCGAATCGCTCTTTCAGCCGCTGCGTGAAGAGAGAGAGAGACAGAAAATAGGGTGTCCAAAAATAAGAATTTATATGCCTGTTTTCTCCTTCGTTATGTGTTTGGACCGCTACAGTGCCCATAACACCCAATATCACCGAATTGGTGATATGGGTTTTGGCCCAAATTTGGTATCTGTTATGACACTGTTTAAAATCATGTCAGCCCACCCCAAACGTGATATGGGCTCAAAATGTAATTTCAAAACACCAACACCAATAACAATATCAAACCAGCTGCCGAACAGCCCTAACGATAAGGATAATAATAATAATAATGTAGCAATTATATTGTGTTGGTGATAATGGAATATAGAAATGAAGCCTACTAAACGTTTATGAGATTAAACTTAATGACTGATCGAAATAATGTTGAAGATTGATTAATCACAGCAAATGGAAAAAACTTACACACATATTTGTGATAAACTTACACACATAGTTGATTACAGAATTAATCATATGCTTTTGTTCTTTTTGCCAAGAGAGATGCTATTTAAGTTGATTTCGACTTAAATTTACACACAAAGTGGTGTTATAAGTGTTGGTTTAAGCAGAAACTAACTTAAAAACAGTGTTTCTTTATCCAAACATATGTACACATAGAAATAGATAAATTTCTCCGCAATAAATATAGTAACCACTAAATTTGATCGAAGGCTCCGTTTATTTCGACTTAAAATATTCTTTTTAAAAAATATTTTTCTTTTTCAGGTAAAATATTCTTTTATTTTTACTTTGTCGGTATTTTATAAAGGTTTACGTTGAGGCTGAGATCGAGTCTATCGGGTAGGGCATGTAAAATAACTTGCCGAAAATTTATTGATAAATTATTTTTGTTAAATTTTAATAAATTTTTTTTCTTTGTAAATATTTAACGATAACCAAGCACTAGAAAATAAAAAAATATTTTTTAAAAAATATTTTACGTTCAAACAAACGGAGCCTAAATGTTAAAAAAACTAGTTACAAACTAAAACATAATAATCATATCAAATAGTTACGATGTTCAAAAAATCATTTCTACGCATCTATACACACCCGTATTTTCTTCTCTAAGTAGAATGCAAAACAAGGGTCACTAGTATTAGTATATTATTAATCATGTCATGAATTCATAACTATGTCCCGTCGGATTCAAATTACCAAAGAACAATAAACAAATGAATAAAGAAACAACCACAGAGATTCATTATACACATAGTTTAGTTTTTTTTTTTTTTTTTTTTTCTTCTTCTTTTTGAGAAATGACTATTTCTATTCAAACTGAAAAGGTTGGTTTAATCAATCAGATCTAATGTGTGCGGAAACTACTGGTGAGTGCATTGAATTTAAAACATAATTATGCGATCTCTGATTTACGCACGTCAAATTTTGTGACTTGAGCATAAATAATTTTTAACTTAAAATCTAAAGAAAATGAAAACTTCTAAAAAAACATGACAAGAAACAAATGCAAAATTTTAATCAAAATAATAACAGTAACCTCTCTTACCACAAATAAATGGTCAAACAGTTTAATCATATGTGTCAACTTTTCAATATATGACTAACATAGATTTTTAGCATACTATTCACCAGGAAAAAATAAAATAGAAAAACGAAAACCAGCTCACTAGTTGCACATACGTCTCTAGGTATAATATTTTTTCTTTCTGAGTCTGAGATTCAAGATTCACCATTCATAAGTTGCCAAAGAAGGAACAACTATGAACACACACACATACACACACACACACACATATATATATATCTCTCTCTCTCTTTAAAACTAAACTATGATAGATTAAAAACATGGCAGAGAAATTACTGGTTGTTGAAGGAGGTTCTCAGTATGATGAGGAGATTGTTCCACGTAAACCAAAAAATCTGAGATCAGTATTCAAGTGGAGATCCAAATAACACAATGGATTCTTTGTATAGTAAAGATTAAGAAAGGAAAGGCCGACCTCAGTACCCAATGAACTCGAGCTCGACAATGTCTGGTGGTTAAGGTCGTTGTTGTTACGCCCTTAAAGGCTGATTAATGCTCCTATTTATAGTACTCATTCCCTTGGTCAATATCTCTTAGTCCTTTGGGTGAGCCCGCTCTTGCCCAAGGGTTTGAGGGTCTCCCTTCCTGACAGATGGGACATTGACGGATGGACCGCGACGTTTTGCCCCCCGGTCCATAGAGGTAACAACACTCCTTAATTAATATAGATCTTGTCAAATGTCTTTCGTAATTAATGCACTTTCTATCACTCATAGCTCAAGCTTGGGTACCGAATGTCCTTTCCCCCTTATATCAGCCACCCGTCCACATGCCCTCAGATTCCCAAACCCAACATAGGGATAAGCCTTCTCCGAGGTTCTGCCTTCTTGACCTCTTGCGGCCACATCCTGACTCTACATTTCGAGGTCCCTCAAACCGGAAATAGTGGAGCTCATAAAGCAGAAAGCTCAAGGTCGCTCTAGCAAGAAGCGATCTTGGAAGAGTAGGGAGGATGGGCCCATCCGACTGGAGCTGGGTGTATCCTCTGGAGAGGAAGGGTAGTGACCCCCTCCTCGATTAACAAATCCAGTCGTGGGACAAGTAGCTCGAGGATACTTAGTCCCTTCAAGGGTAGAGGCATACCAAAAAAGTATTGGCCAAGTGTGTCTATTTTCAGAAGTGCCGCCTAGGGGTACACAAAAGAACCGTGAAACCGGAACCGTGAAACCCGGAACTGAATTTTCGGTTCTCACGGTTCCAGTTCCTAAAATAAGGAACCGTTGTTACCGATTTCGATTCTTGGCTCATGGTTCGGTTCCGGAACCGAAACCGATATATATATATATATATATATATATATATATATATATATATATATACTTGGGCTACTAGTACTGGGTTGTGCCGCTGTGGGCTGTGCAATTTATTAAATTATCAGTAATCCACTAATCCACTATCATATAAACAGATATTGGATAAAATAATAAAATATCAAAAATTAAAATCACAAATTCAAAACTCAAAACTCAAAAACCTAAACCTAAGTTTACCTAAGTTCCTAACCTCTCAAGTCTCAAACTCACTCCGCGGCTCCGCCTCACCTCCTCTTCTCTCAGCCTCTCGGCCCTCTCAGGCTCTCACTGTCTCAAGTCTCAACTCACTAGTTTCTACTCTCTATCTTCTCAGAACTCATAAATCTCTTCGAACTCGCCTCAGATCACAGTCTCTATCTTCTCAGATCAAGTCTCAACTCACTGATTCGTGGATTCGGTTGGATCGGTCTGTGTCTTCTCAGATCTTCGGCTTCTGGTCTCAATTTGGTAGGTATTTCGTAGCTCTCTTATCTTATCAGATTTTTTGCTTTTAGATTCGTGAAAATGGATTGTGGATACAAACTTCTTATATATGACTATTCTACTTGGGAGTTGGGGGTTTAGGGTTTGTTTGATCCATCCATCTTGTTCATATATTGGGGGTTTAGGGTTTTTCCATCAATTAGTCCTTTGGTTTGATTTGGGTCCTTATCGATTTCTATCTCTGGTGAATGATGATCGATCAATTGGTCTTTTCATTTTTCAAATCTTTTTCTAGATTTTGACCCAAGCTATTACAATCTAGTGTCCGGAGCTTTTCTTGCTGGTTTTTTTTGGTGGAAAGTGGAATCCATCCTAAAGAGTTCGTCTAGACATGGGCAGAATTCTTGTGGTGGTTGTTGGTTAATTTGATGCATATTGAATCTATTTTTTTTTTTAAGGAAAAAAAAAAAAAAAAAAAAGGCTCGACTGTGACATGTTCTTGTTGTTACAATCCGTTTTTGGTTGAACGTTGTTGTTACTTGTTACTTGGGTTTTTCTGCCTCTAATCGCTTTTGGAACTTCTTTGAAGATTTGGATTTGTTGAGATTTGATGATTTTTTTTTGCTCCTGATATTGAATCTGGAAGTTATTATCACATTTAGATTCAATTTTTGGTTGAACATTGTTGTTACTTGTTACTTGGGTTTTTCTTGGTTGTTTTTTAAAAGGTTGACAAAGGTGGGGAAGATGCTTTCTGTGTGAGCAGCTACAATGGAGGAGTCACTGCTGCTGTTGCCAAATGATGTTGGATTGTTAGAATGTTGATTCAGTTTTTTTTTAACTTTTTTGTAATTCTAATGGAGTAACTGAATTTCTTGGATGTAATATTTTTATATTGTGTGTTTATTTATGTTATTGTATTTTTTTTTAAGGAAAATTAAAATAATATTGAAAAAGTTAGCTTGATTAGCAGTTCCATGGAACCGAACCATTTTTACGGTTCGGTTCCACTACCCACGGTTCCGGCTCCGGTTCCGGTTCCATTTTTTAGGCACCGTTGAGACCAGTTCCGATTCCGGTTCCAGTAGCAACCGTTAGGAACCGAACCGTGTGCACCCCTACTGGCGCCACTTGGATAGTTAGCGGCGCGATCATCAACACTAGTTGAAATCATAATTAGCTTCCCACTAACGCCAACCGCAGAAAAAATTAACTGTCACCTTTCTTTTCTCTGCTGGACCATTTGACTTCTTTGCTATAAACAACATATTCTCGACATATTTCCTTGCCTTGAGATATTGTATTAGAAGTTACCGATATCAGGATTAGTTGGTTTAAGCTAAATTGTTGAATTATGCACTACCAAGAATTGTAATTGTCCATGGGGGGTGGATTGTAATGATCATGTGGGTGAGTGTGCCGTGATCGGATACGAGACACTCGCAAGCTACCACATTGGGCGTGCTACGAGTGCACAATCTCACATGATCTGGGTAGAGGAAAGGTAAAGTGCTTATATGTAGTGATGTTATCTCCAATTGATATGAGACGCTTTAGGATAAAACTCTACAGCAAAAACTGTGCGGGCTCAGGCCCTAAACGGACAATACTATACCATGTGGTGGAGTGAATCGTTATAAATGATATAAGAGCCTGACCTAGCTGAAGCCAACGAGGACGTTAGGCATCCAAGGGGGATGAATTGTGATGACTCTGTGTGCGGGGTAGAGTGGGTCGTTATACTAATATAGTGGTATTTTTTTACTTTTTAAAGTAGACTAATCCATAGCGAAACCATCAAGAACAAAAACTGTGTATAAGTTTCTAAACAAGCTAAAAATAAAATATATATATATAATAATAATAAAATAATGTTGGATTATGCTGAACATGAGCTCCAATTTAATTGCCAAAATCCGAATTAGCATGTTATAAATGAGGATCATGTTTTTAGACATTGTATTAGAAATGTAACTCAGGCTACCCCAAAGGAATTTTAACCGTGCATGTTGGATAGGGACCACGTGCTCCATAGTGCCACCATCAAGAAAGAAAGAAAGAAAGAAAAGAATATATATATATATATATATATATATATATAGAGAGAGAGAGAGAGAGAGAGAGAGAGAGAGAGAGAGATTTTATGAAAAGGACCGTGTGTGTGTGTGGCCATAAGGAAACTATTTTAAGGCTAAAAAATTGCTTAAGTGATCTTAAGCACTACCCTGTTTCTTGCTTCAGTTGATGCATGTTCCTTCTGTGGATTCTTTCCTTGGTTATGGCCCTTGTATTTTTATTTAGTTCTCGTCTTTTAATCCTATTTACCTTCCTAGAGAAAAAGGAGATCACTAAAAATTGGTGATGCAAAAGCATAGATTTAATTTAGGGTGTTAATTTTATATCACACAACATTATGTTAGTTTGCTCAAGGGAATATGTCATGTTGATTAAGTATTGATTTCAACTAAATGCTAAATTAAAGATGATTCAGCAACCTAATAATCATTAAACCTAGAAGATTTCCAGAACTACCATCTAACTTATACCACTTCAAAGATGACAAATTAAAAAGAAACTGCAGAGAAAATTTGCATTTATGATCTAACTATGCTTTGGCATCACAAGGCAACAAAACAGAACCTCCACTCCACTGCACTTGATTAATACACAGAGGCATTGGTTTTGAATCTCAAAAATAGTAGAATATTCTTAAATATACATACAAGACAATCATGTCATGAATTCATAACTATGTCATGACAGATTCAAATTAACAAAGAACAATAAACAACAAGTGAACAAAATAACCACATAGATTCATTATACACAATTTTTTGTTGAGGAATGACTACTGCCATTCAAACTGAAAACCCCATTCATATGGTTGGTTTAATCAATTAGATCTAGTGTGTGCGGGAACACCAGTGACTACATTGAATATAACATACTAACGGGCCAGTGGCCTGGTGGTATCAGTCTCTTACCTTTTAAAGGGAAGTCAAGGAGTTCAAGTCTCAAAAGAGACATGTGTATGTGAGTACCAATTAGGAAAAAAATATGTATATAACATATAATTATGCCATCCTTGAATGTAGACATCTAATTATGTGGCTGCAGAACAAACAACTTTAACTTATAATAAAAAGAAAATGAAAACCTCCAAAAAACGTGGCAAGAAACAAATGCACAAATTTCCATCAAAATAATCATAGCAACCCCTCTTACCACAAAGAAATGGTCAAACAGTTTAATCGTCTCCTTCAACTTTTCAATAAATGACTAATATAGATTTTCAGCATACCATTCACCAGGGAAAAAAAGAAAAAAGAAAATCAGCATGCACACTAGTTGTGGATCCGTCTCTAGGTATAACATTTTTTCTTTCCACGTCTGACATTTTAAGATTCAGCATTCATCCATTGGAACTACGAAATGAAAAATAAGCCACATCAACATAATCATAAATAATATTACCGCAACTGGCCCCAACGCTTGCGATTGCTTGTCATTCCCATCAAAGCTGTTGGGTGAAACATGACTCCACATATTGCTTCTCATTCCCAACAAAGATGTTGGGTGAAACCAGACTCTCCACGTACAAAGCCAATCTGGGATAAATGGGGCAATTACAAATTCTCGTAAATCTCTTTTTTTCAGTATCATATGATATTAATCATGTTCGATCAATGACTCCTGGTACTGATTCAATCTTCAGTAGAATTTCACCATTCCTCAAGTAACATAAAGGTATGGCGCCATAGCCTATGTTAGATGGGAGGGTGAGAAACCTAGTCCAAGATGCCTTCACGCCATTTTCCTTCATCAACCACCCATACCCATCAAAAGTTCCATTAGCACAAAATGAGATAAGACCATACATACAAACATTCTTCGAAAGCACCCAATGCAACAAACAACGTATCTGTATCGCCCTGAATGGATATCTCACTAAATACCTCATTTGATAAATCAAAACAAACAATTGCCCCGTGAAGTCCTACATCTTTGGGTAATAGTAGCCAATGAAGAGCTCCATTCAAGAAAATTCCATTATCACACATTAAGAATCTCCCAAAATGACTAAAACTCAAGTCTTATATCCTTCTCCACGAATTGTGTCTGACACTAAACATATGGAATCTGATACTTGTAGAGACATCAATAATCTCAGTTCCCCAAACTACCTTGTAATCATCGTTGTCGGAGTCGAAACCAAACCCATAATAACACTCAATCCTACGACTCTTATCAAAGAATAGAGGAGTGTTGGGTATTTCTGGCAACTTTTTGGAGACTCTAGAGGAAGGGTTGTATAAGATAACGTTCAATTCGTCAACAACATAACAAATCTAGCCATTGCAAGAACCAATTAAAGAGACATTGCTATCTTTACTCCATAATGGACAATCCAACTTCACTACTGCATTACTATTATCATTAATATCGTTTTTATCTTGACCCCACAATGAACAATCCAACTTCACTACCGCATTACTATCATCATTAATTTGTGGTTTTTTGTTGTTGTCATCGTCGTCGTCAAGTAATGATTCAAAGTCTATTGATTGACGAGGGAAACGAGAGCAAAGGATTTTCTGGCCATTCTTAGAGAGAATTGATCGATTGAGATGAAATTTGACGAAATAGGGATCAGAAATTAAAGAGCGAAATGGGTTGGATACGCACTTGAATCGCACAAGAGATTCAACTGGAAGTCTCGAGAGTACGTCCATTTCCATTTCTTCAGGTAGGTTAAGGAACGCCATTGCCTCCCCCAATTCTTCGACTGTTGTATGAGACTCTTTAACTTTACCCTTCAAGAGTTTAACTATGTTCGGAAAAGGAAAGAGAAAGGAAAAGGGAAGGGAAGGGAAAGAAAAGGAAAGGGAAGGAAAGGGAAGCATTTATGAACTTATGATATGTATGAGCAAAGTTACACAATTCAATTCAATTCTAATTTTTCGAAAAAAAAGTTACACAATTCTAAACAGGAGTGTAGCTCTTCCCTACCTGTGCTCTCCCTCTCCCTCTAATTCTTAGGCCTCGTTTGGATTGACTTTTCAAATGCTGCTTTTGGCTTTTTGAGTTTGGAAGTCGTTTTGAGTAGTGTTTGGCTAACTTTTTTAAAGAGCTTTTGGGTCTTGAAAGAGCGTTTTGGAGAAGCTAGTGCCCCCCAGCTTCTCCAAAACGCTCTTCTTAAATACACGGGAAGAGGTTTGGGAGTATTAATAAAACTTTTTAAATGACAAGCGTACCCTTTATATTATCCCATAACAAATTATAATTCCAACCGTATCCCTATAAAAAAACCCCTTAATTCTACTTCCAAACCCTAGTCTCGAAAAAAAAACTCACATTGGTGTTCTCTGACAACATATCCCTTCAGACTCACAAGAATGATCCATCAAGCATTCAACCAGAGAAAAAAATTGAAATAGATAATTGCGAGAGATAACCAGTGGCTTTACTCCTTCAATCTATCATTCGACCTTGGTATTTCTTCTCTTGCCTATTTCTTCTTCTTTTTTCCCCTATTCTCTCTAAATATTTTCGAAACTCCCCGACGAACAATCACTGGCTTCCATAGAAGTAATCACCATATTTCAACGATGCATCTTACCGTCACAAATCTTTATTTTTTTTTTTCACCTTCAAATTGAATTCCCTTTTGTTGCAACAATGGATTCCAGTTATTTACCCAAAAATAAAGTTTTTTTTTTTTAATCAGATTAATTCATCCGCATAGCATTTCTTTTTTATTAAATTAATTTAAGATTAATTCACTATCATAGATCTTTCCTGTATTGCAATCTAATGTTGACCATAGCAATATTTTTCCTTATAATATAATTAAGTTAATATAATTAAGTTTGTAATTATAAAGAAACAATAATATTATTCTAGGAAAGTCATAAAGCATGAGATTACTTATTTTCTTTTTGGAAGAAAAATTAGAAACCCTCAATATTTTATTATTCTTATTATTATATTTTGGTAAAATGTTCAATTACAAAATTTTCTAAATCATTTAATAGTTTTTTGCAATCTCTTAATTGTTATTCCTATTGTTTTTATCAGTATTATTAATTATTATGTTGCATATGGCATGTTGTGGATAAATTTGATTAAACTTAGTGGTATATTTGTATGTTTTTACAAAAAGAGTTACAAAAAAACAAGTTAAACAATAATTAAAAAAAATACTCTATCTAAGGGCAAAATAATTATTTCAGTAGTAAAAGAGCTTCCGTAAATATTTTGCCAAACAGATTGAAAAACTCTTCTACCATTAAAAGCTATTCTAAAATATAGTTTCCTAACACTAATAAATAAGCTAAACAGAAGTGATAACTTTTGCTTCTCTTTTTCTTCTGCTTAAAAGCGGAAGCAAAAGTTATGCCAAACGAGCCCTTAAAGTGATTTAAATTTTCTTATATTTTAGTTCACGAAATAGTTGTCGCTTCCACTCCCAATTTTTGTGACTCAATTCATGATAGACAAGAAAATATCAGAGAATAATTGTGTTTGGAGTTTGGACGGTTTGGTTGATTTTTTTTTTTTCTTCTTCGTCTAAATGCTCATTTGGTTGATTAATGAAGAAAAATTATAATAATAATAATAATAATTTTAGGACTTAATAAGTTTATTAATATACTTTTTTTATTTAACAGATAAATTTATTAATGCATGATTTTTAATTCATCAATGTAGGCTGACTGATGTAGTCAGCAATTTCGGTATATCATAATGCCTCTTCTATGTACCCAATGTTATGGGTTTAAATACATGACATTTATTACCGAAGTCTTTTAGTTTCCGGTCGAACTGTCTCGTCAAGAATAAGGGAGTGTATAAATGTATTTATTGTATATATATATATATATATATATATATATATATATATATATAATGAAATACTGTAAATAAAAAATGTCATTGGACAAGCACATAAATTATTATTATTTTTGGATAATTAACAAGATTAATTTGAGTACAACAGCAACTAAACATGCTAAATTGTTGAGTCTTAGAGCAACTCCAATAAGCTGCCAAATGGCTACTAATCTCAAAATATTGCATGTGAGTTTAACATGGGCTCTCCAATAGACTGTTAAATGGGTTGCCAAAATATAACTTTGTCAAATCTTGTGCCAAATATAGCACAAACTATAGCTATTGCTTTTGAATTTCTAATTCTCGTAGATTTTGTAATTTGCAGTTGCATGCGCACACAGAGAGAGCGCCCCGGGGGGGTGGGATAGAGCGCCCCGGGGGGGTGGGGTTTAAAGTTTTGAACCGGGCAGGGTGGGATTTTATAGTTCGTAGTTTGAAATATATTTTATTTTTTGGTTTAGAGTTATTAATAATATAATCAAATATATATGATTTATATTTTATTTATTTTTAATGAGGCAAATAAGATAAATAAAATACAAACACTCACAAAAAAAAAAAAAAAAAAAAAAAAAAAAATTGGTCGTTGAAAATTGGTAGTTAGGAATTGTAGTTGAAAAAGAATGGTTATTGTTTAAAAAAATAACATTTTGGATGAAATGCACCATTGAAGCAAAATTGCTAAAATATACTAGTATTTTGACACTATAACTCCTCTCAAAATATAAATTTAATATTAGGGCATGTATCTTTCAAATGACAAATAGGTACTTTACTGCCTCATACGTGGAAGAAATATTTAGACATTCTAATGTTAATCTTTATAGCACATTTTTATAAACTCTTCCATCTCTACACAATAATATCACTGATTGGAGACTCTGCAACATGTTTTGATAGAACCGAAAAGACATTATATAGATCGACTCTTGCAACATGTTTGGATATATGTATTCTATGTTTTTTTCCACAAGTAATTAAATTGATCCTACGTATACTGATCAGCTTAATAAAGAAACATTTACATGCCACAAAAGCATAAATAAACAGCTGGTACAAATGCCATCAAGTGCTTATTGCAAATTATAACTGTAAATAACAGAATGTAACAATGAAAATTGATCAAAATTGAAAATTCCATCTCTTCACAATATTATTGGTCTATAGAGTTGCACTGAGCGCGTGTTTATTGGTTGTATTGGCCTTACATTAGCTTTTTGATCCTGAAAAATAAAAAATCACCCACATAAATGTATGATTCCAGAACAAGTTTGAAATTATCATCTAACCACAATTTTTTTTTTTTTTTCAATTTTGTATTAAGTATTAGAACACTAAAACCAAAAGTTTCAGTCACAAATTATGTTAGATATCAAAAAATTTATAAGAGAGTTGAAAATAGTAGCAACTCACATCATGAACAGCGTCGCGAAGTAGTCTCACTTGTTCTCTTGTAACAGTTCTCACCTAATAAATTCGATGATATTCAGACTAATTAATTACCTATAGATTGTAATATATGTACTTGAACAATTACATAAGCTAGTATATATATATATATATATATATAGCATACCTTTCTCACAATGGTCCAGACAACATTTTGAGTGCAAGGAGGAGCTGTAAGAGAGCCAATGTACCTGTAATACTTTCTACTCCCTATCTTAATTTGCTTTGGGTCAACTTTACCCACCACTCTCTCTAATTCATTGGAGTTTGCCATGGCTTCTAAGTGATCCTTCATCTGTAATCAAACATAGCAAGCATGAGAGAGAGAGAGTGTGTGTGTGTATGTGTGTGAGAGAGAGAGTTATTTGATTACCTTCAACAAGAAAGAATCAGTTCGTCCGAATTTGTACATGATTCCAACCACAGCAATCTTTTTGCTCTTGCTCTCATGAACCAGGTGAAGCTCTAGATCAAATCTGTATGTATAATATGATAAATAACAATAGAAGGAACAAAATTTATCATTGTTGTGGTGGCCATTATTTACTTGTATGTGTGTGTGTGTGTATATATACACATATATATGTAATGAGAAAAATCAGATACACCTCTTGCCATCAATAGTGTGCTCAGAAGGTGAGTGCCAGTGACACTCTCTGAGTTCATACTTTGTTCCATTGATTTGCATATGTCCAGCATCCTTCCATTTCAACTGCATTCATGAATTAATCATGTCATTAGAAGAATAATTTTTTAAAAAATCATGGAAATAAGAAAGATGAATGATAACTAATAATGTTGTCTGAGATTAATACAAATTAATATATGCTCTGTCCACAGTTTTTCCTTGCACTTTTCGCCACGTTAGGTGACTAATAAGGACGTGAGGTAAATAAATTGATTCAAATCGATTTTAAAATAAGGCTTCAATTAAATAATTTATTATATACCACATTTTATTAAACTTGACATAAGCAGATTGAACCATGGGATAAAGGGTTGGTTTATTGAAACTTGACATCAACTAGAAACTTTTGGTATGGAGAGGATCCATCGAGGAAAAACACATAAAAAGTATACGATAATTCTCTACAAACACGTAAAAATGGTCTGTTTGTTTTAGAAAATTATTTTTAGAGAACTGTAGGATAATTCTCTAAAAATGAAACTTCTTATAACTAAGTTTTTATAAAACAGTGTTTAGAAAACTGAATCAAGCAGAATTTTTATACAATTTTCTGATTGTCAGATTTCTGAAAATATAAAACTGTTTTTTGAGTGACAAATCAAGTAAACCCTAGATTTCTCTCTCTTTTTCTTTCTCTTTCTCCTCCGTTTTCCCTTACCATCATATCATGGCCTCTATCGATAAGAGTGGCATTAGAGGGCTTGTAGTCCCTCTTACTAATATGTTCTCTGAGGT